CCAAGTGGAAGTAACGGCTATAACGTGATGTTAATAACAACAAAAACGCATACGTTCACGCACATTTGTATTGTCCTCTGGAAGGTTGCGCGCCATATGATCTACAGAATGGTAAACAAAAGATATGAAAATGCCAAGAAAGTAAGAATAAAGTCAAAACGCAAGTTAAGAAGAGATTAAAAAAAAACTAGAAATATGTGCAAGCACATGCACATACCTATACTTTTTTGTTGGCGAACGCAGGTACCAGCTTTTTATTTGATTTCAGATTATAAATGCACACTGTATGCATATGTACATATGTATGCATGTATGTAGATATGTATATGGAATGAATGTGCATCGGTTGCTAAATGCTACGCTGGAATGGCTCCTCACTTAGGTGCAGCAAAATGTATGCCAGCACATCTTTCCGAGCATTTCAAATTGAATTTTAACGCTTTACGCGCTACATACCGATGAATTGGAGACGCTTTCAAAGCGCTAATCAACCATGCAGTAACATTTGCTTATTTTATACATATCTATATATATCGGCAAATCTGGACTATATTTCGCAAGACCTATGCATGTAAACATGTATATATGTATGTACACAAGTAAAAACTAAAACTTTGGCGCGCACAATAAACTACAAGTCATGCACCTTGTCCCTATTACACCCACCCGAAATAAAACAATCGGAAATCAAAACAGAATGCGATTAGAAACAACCGCCATTCTACTTTCGATGACTTCGACGCCAGCGCCGACGACAACCGCTTTACGGCATGGTACACGTCGACGTTGTTCTCACCGCTGGCAGCGCTGCTGTTATTTTGGAAGTTTTGGATTGTTTTGATTTTGAAAATGCGGATACAATAGCACCAAACAGTACCAACCTAGTCAGATTCTTTCGCCTTTTTGTTTTGTGCCGCAACGCAGCGGGAGTGAGCAGACAGAAAAGCAAAAGCGGCAACAAGACACACCAGCTAAACTGCTCTCTACGCGTCGAACGAGTGAAATAGAAAAACCGACAAAGACCAGCGTAGCTATAGTATACTTGTGAGTAGTGCACTATATGTGTGCGCGAAGGAAATGACTAGCGATAAGCGTGCCATCCATATATGTATGCCTTTCCGTTTCCCTAATGTCAATACGGGTTTGCTGTCACAAGCATTGTGCTGTAGAAAAACGATAAGTGAAATTTTTTCCTATGCGCCCATTTTTTTTCTTTGATGGTTCCTGATTACGGCGTACGTGTACGTATTGTACATACTAGTACCACGGCGGAAGTCTATACAAATTTACTATATAGTCACTATATAGCATACACGGCGCGGAGTTTTACATCTTACAGCTAACTCGTTGAAATCGTAATGCGCGCATCCGTTTGCATCGGAGTACGCGCGCAATCAGAATTTATTTGCCGAAGACACGCTAGTTAAATGAATAAATATATTTACATATATTAGCATGCACATATGTACCTACATGCATATAAGTATGTATGTATATAGATAAGTGGAGCGGAGCCGATTGGTTTTGCTGGCACCCGAAGGCGACCACTGGGAGCATGAAAGTGCGCAAAATGGACAATTTACTCGAATCAACCATAACGAGATTCAATGCCGTCAACTAAAGCATCTTGGAGGTATGTAGTTTGGCGAGTATACAACCCCTCGTCATACTTTACAAGAATGATAGAATACATTTTCTGCATCGTGCTACTTTTACCACTATGTATGTATGTATGTACATAAATATTCTTAACATCGCACAAGCACTTTTTATTAAATACGAAAACTTATTACGATAGAATTATTGTGCATACCTCCACCATCACTTTTGCAAACTGTTTTTGCACCACTGCCTTTTTTGCTTATTTATATTATTTTGTTTTTATAATTTTATTATTATGTCTGTATTTGCAATTTTCATTCACCGTCGCATTTAATTTTCTTTATTCACTTCAGTTCGTCGTGTCTATTCCGCTCCTACATTTTATATCGTTATTCTTTTCTGCTTCTCTTCTTGGTCAATAAATCATATAGAAAGATTGTGAAAATTTTTTAGTTCCATCTTTACACGAGTTTGTATGTTTGTTAAGTGTTCACTTGGTTATATATATATATGTATGCGTTTCAGTGCGTTGCGCTCCCGATTTTTTTACTTTATAAAACTGCTGTACATTTTTTCGACTTCAACACTTTTCATTTCATTTTCGCCTTTCAATAGGCTATGAATATGCTACAAAAAGCATTATGTTTAAGGCGTTTGCTTGTTTTATATTCAATTGATACCTTTTTTCAATTTTCACTTCATAAAATTTTCTATTTTTTCACTTTATACACATACAGACGGCAAAGCACTTTTCTATTTCGACACTTTTACCACGAACTAGCACAACCGAATACGTTAAACGCACGAAATAAACTGAACAATTTTTATTCCACTTTGCCAATCGAACGAAACGGGCAAAGCATAGATCGATGGCTGTTTCCATTTCCGTTGGCGCGGATAGATAAAGATAGCAGGAGATGTCTAATGGCTTGTATTAAAGATGTTAAAGCGAGCGAACTAGAGTCTACAAATGCTGAGTTGATTTTTGGGAGTGCGAAGTTTTAAAATTGGATTTTATTTATCGGCAATTTTGGAGATCGTTTGTAATCAACCAAGATGATTTTAATAAATATTAAAAATTAAGTAATTACCTAATGAAAAAGATTGTAATACTTTAATTGGCTTCATATGTAATGCTATCATTTCCAATCCAGTTTTATCGATTTCCATATTTGCAATCGTAGATATTTGAATTCTTAGTGCTAATGATCGCAAAATTAAATTTAAAAGCAAGTCATTGGGCCGTATGAATAAAAACTAAGAAATTGCTTTTTCTTAAAATTTCATACCTTTTACTTCAATTTTGTTTGAATAAATTGAGTAAGAGATCTGAAATTTTAAGAAAAAGCAATTGCTTATTTTTATTCATACGGCCCATTAAAGAAAAGAAAGCTGTGACACAAGTTTTTATTAGTGATTAGTAAAAAAACAAAACACCGATCTCGGCATGAACCAACTAACAAGATCACGCAATCGGAAAAGAATGAAAAAAGTAAATTTCTGAGCGTTTTTGACATCTGCCTAAAAATGAAAACAAACAAAGAAAACGAAAAAGGCGCGGTGATTGAGTGCGATTATATTGGTATTTATTATAAAATATAAAAAGTGAAACTTGATGACAATTGGCAAAAAAAGTTCATAAAATATGGTTTTAATGATTGAGAGTGTTTTACAATCGCATATTATCGGCACCGGCCGATTTTTCAATGCCAACGTTCTGACCACAAATGTGCACCCACTTTTCACGCAAATTTACGCCTCTTGGCAAATCAAACAGACGCACAAACTTGTTCCAATCACAAAGCACTTCATATTATATCATAAATTTGTAATAAATCAAAATTTCTAATTAAAACCGCTGCAGAAAACACATAAAATCGCTAAAATATCACTACGAAGAGGTAGAAGACGATGTAAACAGAACCAAAAAACGTCAAAAACGCTACGAAAACTTTTTTCTGAAAATCGATTACAAATACAACGATGGCGGATTACGTGATCTTTAGTCGTTGGTTCATGGATCTCGGTACCACCGAACGGCCTAATTTTTTGTGAAGTTATCTCTTTCCTTTTAAGTAATATGTACGTTCTAAATATTAACCAAATCGGACCAAAAATTCAGATTTTACAAATACGTCGACGCTTGCGCCACCTATCAGGCAAAATTTTTGCATAGTAATTCCTTTTCATGTAAGTAAAATGCAATTTAAGCAAAATGCATTTTATGAACCATATCGGACTTTGAATACAAGGTTTTCAAATATCCCGACACCTGCGCCACCTAGCGGATTAATTTATCTTGCATAATGCATTATCACCGGCTTCCGAGCTATGTTTGAAATTTCAAGTCTAGCTCATCGGGATATCAGTTAAAAATTGATTTCAAGATCGGATTACACCCAGGTGAAACTTAGTGTTGTGCTGAGTCGATTCTTTTAAGTATTGATCGGTACTCGGTACTGATTTAAAAAATATCCAATACTTTCGATACTCGGTACCGAAATGTTTAGGCTTCCAATAAGAACGCATAAAGACCAAAAATAAAAGCGGTTCAGAGCAGTCTAGCCTATCACAAGCCGAGTGTAGGGGCTAATAGTGTTTTTTTTTTACTAATTCAAATGAAAAATATATATCGTTGCCTTAATATAGAAAGGCCCTATCTCACATCGCCGCTGAAAGCCGTAACTAAGTAATATCCCAAATTCCCTTTTTGATCGATTATAATTATGATTCATTTGATCGAATTATAAGTCCCCACATGATTTTAAGCAATAAAAAATTTTAGTCAGTTAGGACTTTTTTGCATTTAAGTGACTATACGAGTTAGGGCCTTTCTATATTAAGATAACGATATACCAGAGCTGGGCGATAAGAATTACATGTGTAATCGATTGCGTCTAGGATTACGATAACTTTAATCGCAATTTCAACGATTGCGGTAATCGTTCATAAAAGGCACTAAGATTACGGTTACAGTAATCGTAATTTTAAGTTTTGTTGTGGTTTTCAAAAGAAACTTCAGGAATCCTACTTATATCAAGGCGACGTGGAGTACTTCTGTTATGGAGGTCACAAAGAGGCAAGCACAATGCAGTGATATACTAACGGCTCTTAAACGCCTGAGGTAATTGTAGCAGGCGTTTGTGGTCCCTTACTGAAGCTCTCGGTGCCCCTGGGAACCTTCCGTAGCATCGTTCAAACGGAGGTCTATGCCATCAGTCTGTGTGCGGTGATTCGCATTCGAAGAAATTATCGAAGCGAGAGGATACTAATTGTGAGAGATAGTCAGGCGGCTCTTAAGGCTCTATCATCATTTGACATCAAGTCGCCTTTGGTTTTGGAGTGTGTAGAGAGGCTAGTCTAATGAAGTTCAAGTTTCAACCGGCTAAAAAATCGAGTTGATTTTTGAGAATTTTTTTTTGTGACGGTTTTTTGCACTTTTTTCCACATAAGCATGAATTTCTTACGAAATAAAACGCAGGAGACCGTAAGCAATAAAATTTCAAAAAATCAACGCCAGTTTTTGTAAATTGCACTTGTTATATAAAAAAAAAAAAAACGAAAAAGTAGCAGACTAGAATTGTATGGGCTATAAAACTGCATACCCAAAAACGTTCTAAAGATTCAGATTAAAAAGTTGAAATTTTGATGAATTTTCTCAAATTTTGTATAAAGTTTGAAACTGTGATTTATATGTTTTTGGTAATGTATGGATGCTTTACAAAGTTACACTTCTGTAAACAGTTTCTGGCAAATTTAGCTAAAGAATTAGGCCTCTACTGTTTGTTTTCCCCGAAGTAGAGTTCTTGATCTACAGAAATTTGGCCGCTGTTCTTCGACGCTGTTCATCGACAAATCTTAGCTGAGGATAATCTCCTGATAGCCAAAAAAAAAAGTAAAACCGAGTAGATGTGCATAAATGCTGCCATCTGTCTATGCTATAGGTGTCCTTGCGCTGAGCTGAGCACTTGGTAACAAGGCAGTTGGTAGGTTTTCCACATTCATACTTATCTATAAGTATATATTTTGTGGCCCTTATAGTGCTTAGAGCTGCTTACTACAATTTCGTAGCGCCCACGTTGATCCTCGGTCAAAGCAATTTTCAAAAGTTAAATATTTAGATTTTTATTTGTTTTAGTTTTATTGAGTGTTGGTCAACGTTTGTTCTCTGTGTTAACACGCGCAGTTTACTCAACTGTCACTTTCATCCTTGAGCGAAACGCACGAAACAGACTCTATCTGGCAGTGCTATGACGCTGTTCGACTTCGCCTTCACGGAACATGGTAATATGCAGTAATGGGGTGTAGCATAAAGCATTCCATCAAGCTACGTGTCTGTCTTCAGATCGAAAAACGAAAACCCAAATCGCTGATTTTGTGATAGACGGAAGCTCGATCCAGTGCCTTCCAAGGGCTAAACCAAAGTTCGTTTCGCAATACAGGGAACGACAACCAGCGTCATCACCACTCGACCCTCACACCTGCTCTCTGAGAGAACTCTTCAACAAAGCGACTTATGCGAACAGTGGAACCACATTTCCAACTCATTAGGTACGTACCGCCGCCGAAGAACTAAACGGACTCCAGAGAGAAAAGATGCCGCCTACGGTGCCATGCTGCGATCGAGAGCAACGCGCGCTCTGCGGTATCAATACAGAGAGCTGAAGAAAGGGAGTTGCCTATACGCCACGATGTCCGAATTTGGTATCCCCGCGTAATTTAACGGCTGTGTAAAATAACGTTTAGAAATTCCACCAGATCCGTCAGAGTTGGTAACGATCGATAGTAGGGTAGGCAATTCAGACGTAAGGTCCTCTCCCGTCGTACCAAAATCACACTATAAGTCACTGGTTACGCCCGTGCTAGTGTATGGCACGGGAGCATGGACAATGAAGATATCTGATGGGGCGGCTTTTGGAGTTTTCGCGAGAAAGATTGCGTGTTAGCGATGGCGACTACCGCAGACGATTTAGCGATGAGCTGTATGAGCTTGGCGATGATATAAGCATACATAGTAAAGCGAATTAAAATACAGCGGCTCCGTTGGTTTGGTCATGTCGTTCGATTAGAATAAAACGCTCCAGCTTTAGAAGTATTCGCGATGCTGGCAACAGAGGAAGACCAAAGCTTCCTCTGCCTCGGAATGACCAGGTGGAGAAGGACTTGGCTTCACTTGGCATTTCCAATTGTTGTCAGTTGGCACAAAAAGAAACAACTGGCGTTCTTTGTTGGACTTGGCCAGAGATGGGCAAAGTGGCTCCCAGGAGCCGTTTGCACTTAGGAGCTGATTGACACATTTATGTAGGTGGTAGATGAGGGGTAACATCAAGAGCCAGCATGAAGGGGGAAGAAAAGCGTGTTCAAATTTCTTGTACTCCGACTCTCTTTACTAATATATATGGTGCTTTTAATGTATTTTGTACACCCTTTTACCATAAGAACTGATTTAACTCTTGCGTAGCACTTGCTGGTTCTTTGACAGCCTTAAGAGCCAAAAATCTGCCCATCCCTGGACTAGGCTAATATCGTTTTCGATCGAAGAAGAAGAATGAACTAACAAATATTTAACCAAAATTTTTCCCATGATCTGGCGGTTCGGTCAATCCGCGATTCAGCCTTTTATTAGTGTATAATTTTGATCGGATCAATTGTACCTTAAAGCGGATTGACGTTACCGTCTGTCTATGCTTCTAGAGAAGAACTGCAGACCAAGTTTTGCAGGAACTTAGCGCTAATCGGGTTTCCAACTGAATATCTGAGTTTTTTTCTAATTTGTTTCTCTTTCGTCTTGGAATCACTATCCCAACCAGCAGCCGGATTCCAACATCCCCTATTCCCTATCGCCAATTTTGGTCGCCAAAAATCTTTAAAAGAATAGCAGGCGCGCCTACCGACATGGAACATCTAGTCAAATGCTCACCATATCCACTGCCAGATTTTGTTGATCGCACATTTTATATATTTTGTTTTTTTTTAGAGGAATTCGGCAACGAAAATTAAGCGTAACGATATTCAGAATTCCACTGCAGAGGACTCAGTTCTTTTTCTGTTATACACTGTGGCATGAAATTGCGTTTGAAAAATTCTTTTACAAAAATTTAAATCGAAAAAAATCAGAAAATTGCAAAGGTGGCCATTTTTTTTTCAGAAAATTTTAAAATTCGAAAAAAAAAATGTTTGTGTTCTCCATTTTATTTTTTATTAGTATTAGAATTACTATTATACTAGTATAGGAAGGTATAACAGAAAAGACCCGTCTCATAAAATTTACATTTTTCGGTGCAACGCTGCGTAGTTGTATCTGACAGCTGTCATGTTTACATACTATTTTTATTGCACAAATCTATGAACGCATTCAACCAACTGCCAGATACATTTCTGTCCGTCCAATCGGCCCCCCAAAAAAAAAATGCGAATGTCAAGCACAAAACATAGTAGACGAATAACAATCGGATTTCGGAAAATATTCCACTGCTGACGCCGACGTGCACCGATGTTCAATGTTTCCTTTCTGCTTTTGGGTGTTTCAATTCATTCGCAACTGTCGCGGCGTACGGACATAAAATACGGAGACGGAAACGGATACGCGGACCAAAAACATACATATACACAATTTTTTCAATTTTTCCTTTCTCAGTGAAAGAAAGAAAATACTTTAGATACAATTTATAAAGTTCTTATTTCGTGACAAGACGTACTAAAAACCGCGAAAAAAATTTCTATTTGAAAAACCGTTGAGTTTTTCATAAAAGAAAAGTGTTTTTTTTTAATTGCGTGTGTGTGTGTGTGGTGATTCAGAGAAGAGAAAAGACTTTGCAAAGTGCAGAATAGAAGCGAAAAAAGTACATAGAAGTCGCGCTGCATTGGTAGATAGATAGATGTCAGAAGTTGCAGAAGAGGAAGCAAGCGAAAAAAAATCGAATTTAACGAAACGAAACGAGCGTAGAGTGCTAAATAGCAAAGAAAAACATATGTAAAAGTTAAAAAGGTAAATGGGCAAACCAGTTTTAAATAAACGGACTGTTTTTCAAGCCCAACTAAACTATTTTTTGCAAAAGCAAATCCAACTAAGTGCATGCATAAATAAATACATACATACATACATATGTATACAACAACCCAACCGGCCACCAACTCCACTTGACGGGGTGCTGCAGCAGTTCATTCAATTCAAATGGTAAATGAAAGTGCAATTCTAGTGAAGTGAAATTCAAATACTGAAACTGAAGACGAAAAATTACATAGAAATGGAAAATTTAATTAGCATTTTATATGTTGTGTGTTATTGCGAATTTATTACTATGTACTAATCGATATTTTTCTTGCCTATATTCATACATACATTGGTACATGGTTCATAAGGTACTTACTGATGTTTGTATGTATTGTTATTTCTTCATTTTTATGCGATGTTTCGCCAGTAAACATCGGGTGTATTATGTAAAAATCAGATATACATAAATATGTATAATATCCTTCATAAACTGGCAAATCTGAAAATGATTCCTTGATTGTTGTTGTAGCAGAAAGCGTGAGTATACACAAATTTATTTGATATCATCAAGGAATTATGGGGCGAGAGGTGAGTGGGGTGAGTGAGGGATGATTTTGGAGCAGATTGGTTGAAAAGGGCGGCATTGTTGTTGGGATGTATGCGTGTATGCGTAGCTTTCGTGGTTTTATCTGATGAAGGTTGGCGTGCATACATATACTTACGGTGACCAGATTTCTGTGACCAAAAATCTGGACATAAAATAAAAAGGCTAAATACAGTTTTATTTAAAACAAAAAAATATTAAAAACGTATATTTTTTTGTAAAAAAACACAACTTAATATCAAAAAAAAAACATGTATGTAAATCAGCATTGCAAAATTTATAGAACATTTATAAAAATTCGACGAATTTGAATAAATGTTCATCAACACAATTTCAAACATTTTAATGAGATTTTTTAGAATTATTTTGAGTATGCAGTTTTGAAGCGCATTAAATGTTAATATAGTAAAGTGCCAGTTGGAAGAAGCTTGGACTTAAAGTTGATTTTTGGCAATTTTTTGTTCGCGCGTTTTCTTCCATATACAGGGCGTATGTTGAAAAATTTTTTTATATGGAGAAAATGAGCAACACCTTCCACAAAATTTACCAAATTTCTACGGCAAGTCCCAGCTTAAAATTTGCACTTTGAATTGAATAAACTGCAACAAAACTGCATACTCAGAATGTTTCTAAGAAATTTAATTAAAAAGCTCAAAATTTTGATGAAACTTTGTCGAATTTTGCTTATGGTCTTTGTTAGATAACGAAAGCTAAAATGTCTCCTCCCTATTTATATTTTCGCCACTCTATCTACAGCTTATGTTTTTCATATCCACGATTTTTTGAGGGTATTTATTATAATTTTTTTTTTACAATTTCATTAACTATGTTATTATATTATTAATAAGGATGCTGGCTATGTTCATGGCTCACTTATATTCTAAGTCCTTTGTGATAACGAAAGTACTGCCTCGTTTGTATGGAAAATTGTTTTAGGGCCAGAATACAGGGAGAGTCATAATAAATGAATAAAGAAATCGCTGAAAATCGGGACTTAATCGGTACAAATATTAAAACTTATACATGCCGACTTTTAAAAAATATTCTGCGGGACAATTTTCTCAAAATCGGGACTGTCCCTCCAAAATCGGTACGAATGGTCACCGTACGTATACTAGAAGCGAAATAAGAGATGCGCAATTCTGCTTATAAACAGGCTAGTTGTGCGAAAGTTGATACTGGTTGAAGGGAGGCATGCAAAAGAGTCAGTTTACAAAGCAGGTAGTAGTAAAGTAAGTGTACAGAACTGCGGAATTAATCGACGAAGTCACACTAAAAAAAAAAGTAAAAAATGTTGCTGGGATCAGTGTTGCCGTTGGGAAAGTCGCAAAAAGGGCTCACTGAGGAAAAAAAGGGTCACCATATAATATTTGCTTTTCTTTACTAGTAAAAGAATAAATTTGTTGAATTTAAAAAGAACATAGCGGGACAAGCTTTTCATAAAGCAGGGTTGCAAACATACACATAAATCTAGTTGCTGCAAGGAGAAGAGTTGTATTTCCCTTAAAAGTTTTAAGTGATGCATTTTTTAGTACTTCCAGGAGGAAATATGTTTTAATAACATGGTTTTGTTAACATTTCCTAAAAAATAACTCTGAAAAGGGGCAAAAGTTGCACATAGTTTTGGAAAAGGGTCGAAAAATCAAAATTTTCAAAAAGTCGGGTCAAAGTGTATTGGCGCTTAAAAAGGGTCAAATTGGCCCTTTGGTCGCACAGCGGCAACACTGGCAGGGATAGGTAGGGGTGGGCAAAAAATTAAGTTTGACCATTCGGTTTAATGTCATGCTTTTTTGGGAGTTTATGGGACAACAAACGACGGTTGCTGTGCTCAAGGACAAACAAAAAATTAATTTCATTAAACACCGTGTCACCTTTTCAAACTCAAACTCAAATAGTATGTAGATGCGGAAGAAAATTTGCTTACAGCAGGTGGCTGTGACGACGGGTTGTTTTTCCTGCTATTTTGCCGCAAAAAATGATAATTGAGGAGCGGCTGCCACAAGCACGTCGCCGAAAGCAGCAGGTCTTGTTAGCTTTAGCTAAGAGTACTACGTGTACAATACATAGTCGTGATTTTACTTGATTACAAAACGTTATACATAGTGGGCACGATTTTCTCCACTTGTCGCCCACTTCTGCAGGTTATGTCACCCGAAGCCGTGGCGATTACGCGAATGCATCTGGCTAGTGAAATGAATTGGCATCGGGTTGTAATGCATTTGAATAATGCAAAGTTAATATTATAAGTACCTAGGTAATTTGTAGCTAATTAAATGCGCAATATGAAACGCTTGTGGTTGTTTGAATATTTTTTATTAATTTAAAACGAGATATTTCTGGAGGTAGAACATGCGGTTAAGAAATTAAATTATTGGTAGAGAAAGTTTGTGCTACCTAATTAAGTGGGAAGACAGTGTATATATGTGTACATATTTATGCATAGGTATTTGTGCTTATTATGTGTAACAACAGTTATCCATTCACCAAAGTAAAAAAAACAAAAGTAAGGCTTCAAGACCGCTTTATTGTCTAGAGTATCTTCACTGACCACAAAAACGAAATTGTCGTGCATATATTTTACATGGCAGAAAATGCACAACACCGTAAAAACATTAAATTAAAATTATAAAAAAATTTCACTTTATCCCACAAAAATTTAGTGAGCTATAAAACGGCACACCCAAAAATTTTCTAAAAATTCTGAATAAAAAGTTTGAAAATTGGAAAAGTTGCAAATTGGTATATAAAGTTTATTAAATTATTATGATTTTTGTACAAAGTTTAAAATGTGGATTTATATGGTGCCTGTTGTATAATGTGCTAGAATTTTATAAAAAAATAACAAACATTAAATAAACAAAATAAAAATATCACTTGACTTAATCAGCTAACCGCAAACGTATTTTAAGTTCATGTTTTAGTTATGATATAAATATAAATATTTAAAGAAAACCACCTGATTAAAAGGCTTTTAGATCGCTTTCCTACGCATTTTATAAAAAATTATTTTCTTATAAGACGTCATTGCCACGTTTGTTATCATTTTTTAAACATGAATGGATAGTTATATATGTATGTAGGTATGTATGTATGTATTTCACTCTTCTAGCAAACGCATAATAAATACATACTTACTATACATACGTACCAGGGGCGGAATTCGGAAATTTGAAATTGGGCCGAAATCTGGTAAAAAAAGATTGAAAAATTAAAGGGCCGAATATTGAAAGATCGTTGTCGCCATTTTAGCTTTTTCAAAAACATAAAAGTTTCAGACAATTTATTTGCTTAAAAATCATGTTAAAAATTATTTTTATTTATTATAAAATCTTTGATGCAGATTTGTCAAGAACAGATTCTTAAAAAAAATTATTAAAAAAGAATAGAAAAAGTTCCTATTTCATAAAAAAATTAATTAAATGCATTAAAGAGAGCCAGGATAATGGAAAAAATGGGGATTCGAGTTCTATACAGATTTTTTTTTTCTTAAATTGACTAGATATTGTGGTTTCCATGCAACATGCATTAAAAACTTACAGAAAATAGTACATATGTATGTATTAGTATCCACACAAAGTCCTGCCCGAAAGCATTCTCAATTTTGCCGACCGAATAGAAGAGTTCACATATGAGCTTGCATAGCAAAATTTATCTAGTTACAGTAGATAGTGATATATGGTCGAAGCTTTACCCCACACATGGTATAACTACCGGATAAATCACAAATATGAATGAATAAATACTATGCAGAAATGAATGGAAAATGTTAAAAACCAATCCAAAAATGGCCAATTAAGTAAGGCTTTCTTTGAAATTCATAGTGACGTTAAGTAACTGCCCATAGAAAATTCAATTTGCAATAAAAACAGATAAAGAAGTATTGTCTAAATCAAATATGTAGGTACAAAAATCTGTCGATTGGGCTTTAGGGCCGGGTAGCACTAAAAGGAAGAAGGAGAATACATATGTATGTACTTACGTGCAAAATTGTTTATATACTTTTCAACTTACATAAGTTCCTAGTCAATTTTTCTTTGAACTCGTTAAATCACACTTTGATTGCCAATCGCACTTAAGAAGTTTATTTTATGTACCTACATAAATATATACATGCATATCCGTTGCACTTCCCATTTCGTTTCCTACTTACAACAATTTCGCCATGCTTTCGAACATTTTGCTTTCCTTACCTTTCCACCCAAAATCAAGCAGTCAATAAATTGTGCCCATACCAAAATTTAATTGGCCACTTAGTGTGTTGCTTAGCATCAATATTTCAATATTGGCCAATTGCCAAACAAGCGTAACTTGGCCTCTTTAAATATTTTTCTTCGGGCCGCAAATTTAACTGCATTGAGAGTTTTGCATTTTTAGTTGAAAGTAACTTTTTCTTATATGTATAATAAATACATAAGTGAGTGCATTTGTATATAAAATACATGCAGGTAGATATGTACTCGTATGTATCGATAGTGCAATTTTTCCATAAACGGTGAACAAATGCTGTTCGGTATTTTGACCAAAATGCTAAATGTACATATTTAAAGAAAAGTAAGTGCGCCTGGGCCACACTGGAGAA